TACTAACTCGCAATATCGCCTTGGTTGCCAATTAACTGGACGACAACGCCAATGACCCAATATTTATATTATTAACCAAAGATGAGTTCCAGAGTCAACCAAGTTTTGTAAAATCGCTCAAGTTTTCTTTTAAATTCTATTTCGATAAACAACTAAAAATTTAGAATTTTGCCATTTGCGTTGAATCTTAAATTACATTAAAATCAAATTGTATTATTGCGTATTATTATTAATTTTGACATTTCCGCGTTTAAACTTGAATTATTGATATATTTTACTGTACGATTAATTTTGTTAATTTTCAAGATTTATTGATATTTGATTTATTTTAGTTAATTTTATTGATTATTCTAGAGATATTAATGAAAGAAATAATTTATTTGTAAATTATTACTAATTAACATATTTTGAATTTGAAAATATTTTGCCGCCACGGCGCTGTCTCGAACTAATGGCGCGCGCTACTAGGTCAGTTTAGGTTAGATTAAGAACTATGCTGCGACCGGCTCCTTGCCGAAAAACGTGGTTACACACACGCTTGACTTCGCACGTTTCGCCTCTCGACCCGTCATATTGACGAAAATTATATATATTCTTTTTGTGAAAAGTGTCCTACTAGAGTGAATCAAGTCACGGAAGCTGCCTTAATCCTTGGAATATTCGGTGAGTCGACACATTTCTCTAAAGAATATACACTCTTTATGTTTTGATTATATTAATTTTGATTTTATGTATAAGAGTGTGTATTCTATATTCTATTTGAAATGACGCCACTGTCGACCGCATGGTTGAATTTTCTTTGCTCGCGTATATTTTTCTCTTATTAATATAATTGCGTAAATTTTAAGTATTATTATAATGGTGTTCATTTCTTCTTATTTTTCTTAATTATTTTATCGTGTTATTTTATGTATTTTGTGATTTCCGAACTTGATCAAATTCGTCATTGATTTTTTTTTGCCGAGTGTCGTTTCATTGATTTTCCCTGTGTGTATCAGTCAAATCAAAATGTCGCGCTTTCCCTCGAAGTCAAGTGAAATTATTTAGTGTAGGAAAATTTTAAGTTTTTTTTATTGCGTATCAACTATGAGTCGAGAAGGCCTAATTAAATTATTTAGCGTATTTATTATTTTATTTTGTCGATGGAGCCATTTTTAGAGTTTTTGTCAATTTTTTTTTGTGTACGATTTTTTTTATCGATTAATTTATATTATGTCACGGACCAATTATTGATTATTTTATTTAAGATAATTAGAACAAGGAATGATTTTCTCATTTTGTTAAATTTAGTTAGGATGAATTTTGAATATATTTTATTGTCATAATGAATTTTATTGTGTATTAAATTTGCCGAAACACTCTCATTGGAAACCTTCGCCCAAATGTTTCTGAATTTAAGGAGCTAGCGTGATGTAAATTTTTTTTTGATTTTGACCGGTAAACAATATTTGAGTAGCGATGATTTTCATGTAATGATTTCCGAAAATTTTGTTGATTTTGTTATTTTGATAATTTTTGATATTTATTGATTAATTTGAATTTTGGGTCATACTGGCCACTTTCCCTAAATATTTGAATTAATTTTAATTTATTATTGCTAATGAATTAACTTGGTAGTCTCGGTCCTTAGAATAATAATCTATTTATTGTTACATTGGGATTAACTTGGTAGTCTCGGTCCTTTAGAACAATCAATATTTTGAATTTGATTTTGTTGCTGAAACGGTTTATTTATTAACCTGGCGCCCAACATTTATCCGTTTAAAATCATTATAAAACTAAAATATTGTTCCGAAGGTGGTCGCAAATATTCTCTATTTGGCAGAGATCGCGATTATTAAAAATTTTACAATGTTGAATTTTTTTTGAAATTTGAAAATATTTTGAATTTTGAGAATTTAGTAACTTTTCTGATTTTGACTTTGCCCTCGCCATTGTAGAATTTTTAATATCTCACAGTAAATATGAGAAAAAATATCTGATAGATTTGGAAAAAATACTGAAAAAAATTGGGGATAATATCTGTCAAATTCGGAAAAAACTCCGACTTACAGGAGAAAAAATTTCCGATAGATTTGAAAAGAAAGCCTATTAAATATTAGAAAAAATATCCGACAAAGTCGGAAAAAAATCCAACCCACAGGAGGAATTTCCCATAACTTTGGAAAAAATACCTAATAACTATTAGGAAAAATATCGGACAAATTCGGAAAAAAATCTACCTCATTGTGGGTATAATTTCCAATTGATTCGAAAAAAAATCCGATTCACAAGAGGAAAAATTTCCAGTATGTTCGGAACAAATACCGAATACATATGAGGAAAAATATCTGATTAATTTTTGTCATACTCTGTATTTAGAGGTTTTTAGGGTTGCTGATTACGAATTTAATGTTAGTTTTTTTAAATACAAAATGGAAGATCCAAGATGTCGGATTGCGAATCTGATTTTAGTTTTTCGAAATTCAAAATGTCTGATTGAAGATGGCTGACGAATTTTTTAAAAATTAATCCAATTGGCCTATAAATTGTTACTCCGAGATTTAACCCACAGGGTACTGACTGGGTTAGCGTAACCCAGGTGAAATTTGAAAGTTGTACCATTTCTAAAAATCTCTATAGTAGGGGTCCGGACATTAGGGTAAAAAAAACTTTGAGGTGCCAACTGTAAGTGGATCTTTTGCAAGAATCAGCTGATGTTTCCCCTTCGAGTTGTTCTTCCTTGAAATTTGCTCTCGGGTAAAATTTACCCAGTCCAAAATTAAATTTTGGAAACTGTTATAAACTTCACACATAATTTGTTTAACGTCTAAAAATGTGTATATTTGATAATAATAATAATTAACACCAAAAGCATTCTATATAAATTTATAAAATTTAAGTTTTATGAAGTACATGGAAATAAAATATATAACAAATTTTATTAAGTATAGTACACATTTTAGTAAATATTTTTCAATTTAGGGAAAACGTGTAAAAATCGGAAATATTGATACAAAAAATAATATACTTCTGAAAATATTTTTTAGTCTTTAAGCAATGTATTTCAAATTTTAGTAAATATTTACAAACTTCAACATAATTTATAGTAATTATACAAAATCTTTACTCAGATTTAATATATTTTATATCATTTTTTTCCAGTTTGACACGTTTTCCTTAAATTGAAAAGTATTTACGAAATTTTGTTATACATTTTCTTTCAGTGTAAAAAATTTTGTATTGTGAGAAATAAAAATATCTAATTTTTGTTGATGGTATATGAGTCTGAGATTGAGGGGTCTATCCTCCGATTCCTTCTATACTACGTTTTTGCGTAGAGGTTATGGGTCTAATTGAGTAAAAAAAACTTTTGAAAAAAAAATTTATTATTTTTCGAGATATTTGCATTAAAAAATTAGTGCAACTTTTTTTTCAATTACTCATAACTTTTTCACTTTTAGTCTTAAAAAAAGTTTCCTAAACGTTTTTTGCTCAAAAAATAATGAAGTTTAAGAAAAAAAAATAATTTTGAAAAATAAAAATGCAGCAATTTGTTTTTTCAAAAATTAGTTAACGCATTGGAAACAGGGACCTGCCCGAATCATTCGTGTCGTTTCCGTTTCTGTTGTGTACACAACACATTTATACATTAACTAATGTGTTGTGTCCTGACACGAAACATTCCCCTATTGACTAATGTGTTGAGTTCTGACACGACACATTTTCTCATCGAATAATGTTTCGTGTTTGGACACGACACATTTTCTCGTCAAATAATGTTTCGTGTCCAGACCCGACACTTTTGAAATAAATAAATGTTTTCGTGTCCAGACCCGACACTTTTGAAATAAATAAATGTTTTCGTGTCAGAACACGACACATTTTCTCATCGAATATCGTTTCGTGTTTGTATCTGACACTTTTGATATAAAGAAATGTTTTCGTGTTAAATAACGTTTCGTGTTTAAACACGAGACATAATTCTTTCTTAATGTTTTATGTTTAGTCACTGAAAGGAGAAAGTTATACGCAAACGCGATTTTTGACAAAAATTACTTAATATTATTTAATTTATAACAAAACAAGATGGCGGTCAATCAGAGTAGCGGATCTAATATGGCGTAACAAGTAAATTTGTTCATGAGAATATTTTACAATGAGAAAGTGGGTTATATCCGGACACGAAAACATTTAAAAATTTTAATAGTGTCGTGTCCGATCCTGACACGAAAACATTTAATTTTTTCAAAAGTGTCCGGTCAGGACACGAAAACATTTAATTATTTTAAAAGTGGCGTGTCTGGACACGAATACATTTAATTTTATCAAAACTGTCCGGTCAGGACACGAAAACATTTAATTATTTTAAAAGTGTCGTGTCCGGACACGAAAACATTTTAAAATTTCAAAAGTGTCGTGTCCGGACACGAAAACATTTAATTTTTTTTAAAGTGTCCGGTCAGGACACGAAAACATTATAAATTATTAAATGTGTTTGTGATTGAACACGATACTACACAAAATTGATTTGGCGTTTTGTTTCGTTTCCGTGTCAGTCCCTGATTGGAAACAATAAAGGCTGCATCATTCAACTCACATAGAACAACGCGAATAAACTTTAAGGCTGATTTGGTCAAAATACATATCTACTAACCATAATATTTCTAATTTGCAATTTGTACCTATCATGGGACTGGACCCAAGTATGTTAAAAGAAGGGAAAAATCTCTATTGAGGGCTTTAAGGGGTAGAGGTTTGTTAATTTGTCAACTTTGCAATTGAGAGGTTAAGAGTGTGAGAGGTAAAAGAAGTGGTTCGTATTTGAGGGGTCTAGAGGGAGAATTTTTGTAATTTAAATAGTTTTCCGGCTTAACATAAAATTAGAAGGATTTTGCCAATTAATTCAGAAATTAGATATCCTGTAATTAGATGCAAAGATTACAATGTTCTATTAACATAAAAATTATAATGTTTATATAGATGAAAGTATAATTATTTCAAATATTTAGAAGGCTAACCTGTGCTATAATGGAAGCAACTTTCTCTTTATCGAATGATGTGTGAATACGTTTGTTTTTCAAGTGGTGTGGGGTGTCTCTGCGATGGAGCTTGTTTGGTTTGACAGAATCACCCCCACCCTCACAATCCACGTTCTCGGTTATAGAAAATTCAACATGCCTCAATGTATCTTCATTTTCAGCCACATCACTATATTTAACATCACATACTGATTCTTCAAACTCCACATCCTGCAAAAGGATTTCTACACTAAAACCTAATACATCAATGACACTAAAAATACATATTAATGCAATTTTCATTTTTAGAAAAATTGTATTAATTTCTTTAATATAATTTATTCATGCAATTTGCAAAATGTTAAGATTTTATTGAAATCATATTAATATCTCAAATCTGACCAAAGGATTTTAAAAAATACCTAAAAAAAATTTTATCGTCATTTTTCCAAAAAATTTTTTTTATCGAAAAAATTTTTAAATAGAAAAATTTAAGGTTATATATAGGGCATTCTACGAAAAATTTTTATTCAAAATTTTTTTTTGCCTGGAACATTTTTTTTCGGAATCTTTATGAAAAATAAGAGAATACGTATTTTTTTCTTTTTTTGATTTGATGAAAGTTACGGGAGTTATGAATTTTTTAAAATTAAAGTTTACATAAAGAAGGTACTTTTCAAACGCGTTTATCTTCATTAAAACGAAAAGATGGAAAAAACATGTGCCATATGAAATTTGTTGGAAATTTTTCAAATTTTTTATATATGCAATAAAAAAATAATATATTTTTAGTGGAAATGTCCAAAAAGTCAAAATTAAAAAAAAATATTTATTTTTCTCAAAGAGAGACAACATGGATTTTCAATTTTTTTTTTGCAATACAATCTCTAATAAATAAAGAATTTTTTCCCGTTTATTAGAAAGTGGCGTTTTTTCGGAATCTAAGAAGTATTTCAGATTTTCGAGTTGAGTAAAGAGGGCTTGAAACTGCTTTTTTATAAATGTAAAACATAATTTCACTCCATTTTTATTCTAAGTCATTTGTTTTCTCTATTGTACTTGAATGTTTTTTTTTTTGACAGATGTGTAAACTATCAATAAAAATACGTAATTTTAAACTATTTATTTTCAATGTCTTCAATAAACATTTTTCGTGATCGCTGTTGAAATCTATTCAAATTAAAAGCACATCTTGTTAAAAGGAATTTACGCAAATTAAATGCGCAACTGTTTAACAAACTTTCAATCATAACCCAAAAAAATGTTTTGGTTAATCCCTCACAGCACCAGATATCCGAGAATATTCCAAAAACATCCCTTGGATATCCTAAGGATACTTTAAGGATATCCAAAGTAGCGGCGGTTAGGATATCTAAAAATGTCCCAGGGATATCCTAATCATTTCCCCGGATATTATTAGGACGTCCTAAGGATATCCACAGTATGTCTATATTATCTTAAGGGTTAGAATATCCTTGAGTCGTTCTAAAAATGTCCCTAAGGTATCCATAAAACGACCCTAACATACAAATTAATTAAATAAAAATGGAAAACATATTTTTTGGATGTATTTACAATGTATGTATGCTACACAGGTAAGAAATGGTGTACTATCGGTGCATGTGTTAGAACAAAAATTTTTCATTCGGTAAGTCCCATAAAAAACGAAATTAAAGTGTCGAAAATCGCATTTTTGGCTTAAATATATGCTCTAATTATCAATTTTAAGGCCCAGATTTGAAAGATGATTGACAATCACGGGAAACCTATTTGTATCAAAAAATCGCTATCTCAAATAGTCAAAATTTGAATCATAATTATATCCTAGGAAAATCTTAGCGATATTTCTAGAATATTTTAACGATATACCAAGTTTATCCCAAGAATATCCCCACGATATCTCTAGGATATCCCTGGAATATCCCTAGAATACCCTCAGTATATACCAGAATATCCTCAGTATATCCCCAGGATATCCCAAAAATATCCTCAGTATATCCCCAGGATATCCCAAAAATATCCTACGTAACGGCGGTTTGGATTTTCTGAGGATATCCTCAGGATATCCTATGGACGTTTTCAGCAAATCCTACATTAGTTTAGGATATCCTGAGGATAAATCTATTTAGAAATAATTGTAAGTATAACCCTATATAAATATACGTATATATGTATGGGGCGGTATAGATTCTACACAAATAAACCCTATACGAGAAAATTGCTCACCGATAATTTTACAAAAAAAAATCCTACACTTGGACAATAAGCAAAATAAAATTAATTAACAATTTTTTACTTTACACAATTAAATCAAACATAATTTTATTCTACACATTTAATTGCACACAGGAAAACCCTACACCGTTAACTCTGAAAAAAAAATTCTACACAATAATATGCGGAATAAAATTTAAAAACAAATTGATACATGTCACTGATGGGGGTAACGAGAATTCATAAAGAATGCAAAAACTTTGCTACATCTTCATGAATTCTTGTCCTTAGCCGAGTCATTGGTGACGTGTTTCTCTACACTTTTCCAAACATCCCATCGGCGCGCCCCTTTTCATTTCACGCTTTCCACTCTTTTCCCTATTCGCTCTCTCCACTTTCGCCTTACGGCCCATCTCTATTCATCCTTGCACCTCCCACTCTTAACGCGACAGGCCCTTTGCTTTCCTCGCGCCACTTCTTTTAACCTTCTTTTCGCCGGATACTTTTCCGAGCCGAATTTTCAATTATTTATTTAAATAAAAGGTTATGTTCGAAGTTAGATGTGATTTTTTATATCTTGTAGATCATTTATAGCATCATTTATTATAAATAATTATTGTATCACAATAAATTATTATTAACTAATTATTAATTATAATTGTTATTACAATAATTATAATTTGTTAATTGTTAATGGTAGATATTGTTGTCATAGTGATTTATAATTTATAATGTTATATATATATATATATATATATATATATATATATATATGTGTGTGTGTGTGTGTGTTAATACGGATAATATTATATTGTTAACTTATAGTAAATATGTAATATGTTACACATACATATCGGTATTTGTAACATATTATATTAATAAACTATATTTTAATATAATAATATTATTATCATATATCACACTTATTAAGTAAAATTAATTATTAATTAGATATATTAATTAGGTTAATTAGGAATGGTTAAGCAGGGATGTGAGAGAATCTTGAAGATAGAGCAAGTCTCGCGAAAAGACGCGCGACTTGACCCTTGGCTCAAGCGAAACGCGTGAACCGTACGCGCATTCGGATTGCGCCGGGCCTAAGAAACGCGAACGCTGATTTTGCCCTCTCTCTAAAATTCTCCCACTTTGCCGTTTTTGGAAAAGTCGCGGATGATAAAAGTCCATGCACTGGACCAAAACGTCAGTTCTCCTTAGAGCTCACTTGGGGTTGGCTTTCCTCCCCCCTGCCTAGCCTGACCTACCGCTAACACTACTCAATACTTAGAAAAATTCTGAGTTGTTGGACTTAGAAAAATTTCGAGTCATCGAACTTAGAAATTTTTCCGAATCTCCGACTTAGAATATTTCTTCGATATTGGTACTTAGAAATTTTCGCCCTTGTGGGACTTAAACTTTTTTCGACACACTGTACTTTTGAAATAAACGATCCCTCATACATTGACTCGTTTCAATCAACGCTACCCCCCCCCCCCCGACTCTAACGTTTTACTTTTTCAGACGCAAAACACTCTACGTATCGAGTTGGTTTCCTCTCGATACTAGAGCCTTTCTAAACTCATTGTTGAGCTGGCTTTCCTCTCAACAAACCAAAATCGAGCTGGTTTCCTCTCGAATTGGCTTACGACCGAGCTGGTTTCCTCTCGGAACTACTACACACACACGGAATCGAGTTGGTTTCCTCTCGATACCTATCTACACATACTATATTGAGCTGGTTTCCTCTCAATATCAGTATATTACACACAGTACCGAGCTGGTTTTCCTCTCGGCTACACTACACATACACAGTGTCGAGTTGGTTTTCCTCTCAATAGTAGTATATTGTGCAACATAGTACCGAGCTGGTTTTCCTCTCGGATACATTACACACACACACGGTATCGAGTTGGTTTCCTCTCGATACCTATCTACACATACTATATTGAGCTGGTTTCCTCTCAATATCAGTATATTACACATAATACCGAGCTGGTTTTCCTCTCGGAACACTACACCTACACAGTGTCGAGTTGGTTTTCCTCTCACACATCACTACTATCTCGAGTTGGTTTTCCTCTCAATAGTAGTATATTGTGCATCATAGTACCGAGTTGGTTTCCTCTCGATACCTAGCTACACATACTATATTGAGCTGGTTTCCTCTCAATATCAGTATATTACACTTAATACCAAGCTGGTTTTCCTCTTGGAACACTACACCTACACAGTGTCGAGTTGGTTTTCCTCTCACACATCACTACTATCTCGAGTTGGTTTTCCTCTCAATAGTAGTATATTGTACGACATAATACCGAGCTGGTTTTCCTCTCGGAACACTACACATACACGGTGTCGAGCTGGTTTTCCTCTCACACATCACTACTATATCGAGTTGGTTTTCCTCTCAATAGTAGTATATTGTACGACATAATACCGAGCTGGTTTTCCTCTCGGATACATTACACACCTACATTACCGAGCTGGTTTTCCTCTCGGCTACACTACAGATACACATAATCGAGTTGGTTTCCTCTCGATATTGGAATACAAACTACTTGCTCTTTTTTTTAAATTAAACAATCAAACAATCGCTTTTATCTTTCTTTTTACCCAACTTTAATGAATTTAAAGTTACTTTGCCACTATTTCGCTGTACCTTTGAAAAACTCCCCATTGGTTATGAAGCAAAATAGATTTGGCTGTTGCCCAGTTACTCCCTCTACAGTGACCGGTGTCAAAATAATAGAAATTCTAAACGATTAAATACTACAAAATATAACCGTACAAATTAAATTGCACTCAGGAAAACCCTACACGATTAACTCTGCACAACTCTCCACGATTAATTAGAATTTTTTATATTCTACACAGTCGACATGGCAACCCTGTTTTTTTCATAAATAAACATACTTATGAGTAAGTATATAAGGTGCAGAATCTTCTTGTGCAGAGTTAATCGTATAAGGTTTTCCTGAGTGCAATTTAATTTGTACGGTTATATTTTGTAGTATTTAATC